GAGTTTGCACTAAACCGGCTTCCTGAAATAGGGCCCAGGTGTGCATAAGTTGGGGTTCTTCAACATCTAGGTAGCCCCACATGCAACACAGATTTCTTTCACAAATGCTAAAGGAATAAAAGGTCTTCTGCTGAGCTGTGTTGGTACCTCTTGATGAGATGGTAGATGAGATATTTCACTCTCTCTTCCATCTGAGGCTTTTGCAGGGGTATTGGGTCGCTCTCATAGGTCACCTTCACCACCAGCTCCCCCAGTTTGTCCAGCTGACGCTTGATCTGGAAAAGGCTCTGGGCAGTCAGGGTGAACCTGAGAGAAGCGAAGAATAGGATGAGGGCAGAGAATTTATCTGATCTTTATTTAACAGCATAGTGCCACCTTAAAATCTGTTACCTCTGCCAGTTAGTTACAATATACTCAATTATTTTGCTCGATAGTAAACTACTTAACTGACAACTGACAATTATAGAAGATCGTTTCTGCCACTGAAAAAGAAAAATGGCTGGCAATTAAAAGAAATAAAAAAACAAACAAAAACAAAGTGTTTTTCAGTCACAGAAACAAGCTTCCATAGTAATTATACTAACGAGTTAGCTATATAGTTAACCAAGTAATATTCGTGCCAAGTTGGGTGACATATAGCATAGATTTTACAGTATATATCACAGGGTGTCATATGTACTGGGAAATTAATATTCAATCTATAAATAAATATTTATTAGAAATAATGTATACATTTATTTTTTTGTATAATGAATTTATTTCAGATATACAAATGGTACTTAACTATTACAAATACAACAGATATACAACCATATGTCCTGTTTACATAATTTATTAATATTATTTTGGCATTTTTGGGTTTCCATACAAAGTACTTAATTAGCATTAGCAGTAAGGATTTATGACTTTTTGTTGGAGGTCATTACCAGCTCTGCAGCTGCTCCAGCCCGGTGAGCAGAGGACCCCCGATGGCAGCAATCTGCTGCCTTCGTTTCCAGTCCTGCAGCTCGGGGTTGAGCTGAGAGGTCATCAGGTCGTCAATCTCTTTGACCACAACGTCCATCTTTGATAAAATCTCCTAACAAAGGCATGAAATACAGTGTTTATGGCTGATCACCACACTGTGAATGATTTTTTTTATTTGTACACCTGCATATATTTTTGTCACGTTTCAGAGCTTTGCATTTGCGTACCTTCCTTTTAAAGTCAAGCCGGTTTAGCATTTCCTGTAGTCTTGTTACTTCCTGTTTCATCACGTCAGAGTTTCTATCAGTTGATTCTGACACAACCACAAAAACAGTAGTATGAAATAAGAATTCTAAAATAGTAAATGACTTTTTATTTTTACAACTTGTAAAATGGCTCACCTCGAGACTGCAGGGTCTTGTAGCGGAAATCAAAGTCATCCTGCATGTCCTCGATGTATTTCACAGCCTGGTCCATCAACTGGAAACAGACATTTGTTTGTGTAAAATTCATCAATAAAATTCAGCTTTGTGTTTTCTCCATCTTGTATTGAAGGTGTTTGAGTTACCTGCACGCTGCCCCTGATGATCCCAACTCTGTTGTCCATGTTCTTCTGCCTCTCAAACGCCACAGAGTTCTGCAAAGACTTCTCCAGAGGACCCTGTAAAAAAAACAAAACAAAAAACCAAAACCAAACATTTACAACTTTGCATTTCTGAACAGACTGTAATCTGTAATCTTTATTTACTTCTGATTTAACCATATCAACATTAATGACATGACTCTCTCATATGTCTGTTGGTGCTGCTCCCACAGCATCATAAGAGCTGTTGAAATGTTCAATTCAATTTTATTTATATAGCGCCAAATCACAACAAAAGTCGCCTCAAGGCGCTTTATATTGTACAGTAGATACAGAGAATGTTGCAAATGTTGTGGCTTTGTGATTCAGGGTCATGTGGGGTTCATGTTCAATACAGTGTGTAATGAATGTTTTTTAAAGTTGCCTTTTTGCCATCTTTAGACAAGAAAACATTATTAACTTTGGGAAAATTCAGGGTGCCAGTGCATGAATAAAAAACATGTTACTCACTGGTTTTGGTCTCTGCAAACTGAAGACTTAGTTAAAGACTGGATCTTCATCATGTTTATGTCTTTGAGGCATTTTTTAACCAATTATCTGAGAAATACCGAAATACCACAGTTTATTTTGAGGTAGAGGCTGTCCACAGCTTTGGGGTGAGTGAATATTCACCATAGTATTATAGTATTAGCACGTAGCTGTGTCTGTGTACAGTTCATGGATGCAGCATGGTAATCAAGCTTTCTCAACTTAGCTGAAAATTTAGTTAATATGTGGACATGTAGCACAGTGGCTACATGCATCTTTTGTATACAGTCGATTTATTGGACATATCGTGTACTGGGACGTGTTGAATATTTTTCTGGCACATTAAATTTTAACATTGCGTGGGTAATATTTTGGGAACAAACAGCCTCTGTGCACAGAGAATCTCTAAATGTTTAAACTCTAGCTATGAGTATCTGCATATAGAAGACCTCTTTCTTCCTCTGAAACCTGAAACCAGACTGAGTTTAAACCTGCAATAACAGATGTGTTGTGCCATCTGATGTGAGCAGAAGCTGCAAAGCATCACTGGAACGTTTTAAGGCGATATAGTAAACTTCTTTATGACTGCTTTAGTTTTTGGTCTTTACAACGTTTTTTGCACGGACATTAGAAAGAAAAGGTGTTAATGATGTCTGTGTGCTGTGTAGTGCTGGGCAGGTAGTCCAAGGTGAGTTTATTACTCTTTATTGGCTCCAATAACAATAAAGTTATGGTGCATTAAACCCAAACAGTGAGCTAAGTGAAGCAGCAGTCTCTATGGAACAACCCAGCTTAAGAAAACAAACACAGTTATCCTGTTCACGGGAATAGAAACACTTTAGTGATTACTGTAAAAAGCCAAACACTGATTGTTGGGAATAAAGTGAACTGGCTGGTTGGGAGGGTGGGGGTGTGAAATATGTTTTACAGTGTAGTCTTCCTGGTAGTGGCCCAGATTTACCAGCAGAGACTGTAATAAAGGGACTTTCCCTTCACTGAGGCAGACAATGTGACAAACCTGTTCTTGCATGCAGGCACTGGAGAGAATACGGCGCTCTTCCCTGAGACAGGTGGAGATGACTCTGGCCATTACAGCAGGATTGGTGGCGTATTTCAGCTACAGTGACGCAAACAGAGAAAATTTCAGTTATAAAACCCCCTGAGAAAAAACCTTCGAACCAATGATTTCCTAATGATGTGATCATTTGTGTAAGTAGGCTATAAAACCAACCACAGCATGATCAATACTCCCACAGTGTCTGTTTATCTGTGAAGAAGAGATGAAAAGGAAATCCCTGACAGAGCGGAAGCCCTTTAGTTCAATAACAAAGGAATGAAGTTTAACTGGACACAAAACGAGCATTCTCCGTGAACAGCAGCTGAGTAAATAAAGTCAGATATTTGGAGCTCATCCAGGTTCGACTCTTTAAGGGCAAAGAATTTAACCACAACATTTAGTTAAATATTAGAGAACAGATTCGAGCGTGTGAGCCTCATTTATAAACATGTAAAAGTTGCATAATCAAAATTGTAATGATGCAACTTGCACCATGAGGTTAAAAAATAAAATAAAAGAAGCAACATTAAGACAAACCTTGTTAACCTTTAGCAAATAACCCTAACTGAGGATTATTGTCCACTAGAAACCTTAGATTTCTTAAGTAGGGATAGACTTCAGGGCTCAAATTATTATTTTTGTTTTAAATTGCATTCCATATCTTTGAGTGCCACATTTATTTATTTCTCCATTCAATCTATCCATCTACGTTCATTCACTCATTAGCATTTTCTCCTTTTCTTCAACGATGTATGCAACGATTTTGCTTTTTATGAGGCAAATCACAGAGTTATGCAATGACATTAATCATTAAAATAAGAAATTTAAAGTAAGTAAAACAGTAGAATCAATAGAAACATATATTGTATAAATAAATACCCACATTTATTGGTTTTAAAGTCGTTAATGGCCTTTTGATGTTTTTTGGGGGTTTTTTTTTTGTATTTGCTAAATATTGATAAGTGGGATTATATATTTTGTTTCTGTGCCTTTAATGACATATTCTTTTTTGTGAATTCGGTATTCTAATAATGCCTTTAATGGTATATTCATTCATTTTTTTAAAAATCAACTTAATTTTGATTTTGGCAGTTTGGCGCCTCCATACATTCCTGCCAGATGCCTGTATCTTTAAATCTCTTTATTTTTAGACTATATATGGCTAATATATGCGGCAGAAGCCACAAACTTTCCGAAGCTGCATATCGGCCTCTACATACATTCAAATGCTCACTAAGAAAAGTACAAAAAACTTCTTCTGGAGGAAGAGGGAAAGTTTTTGTCTCGCCTTCAGGTGTGACTAATATTTCATCACTAAAACGACAGACTGAAGACGCACAAACGCACACACACACCTACACGCTCAGTCTTATGACAGCGGCAGTGATGCACTGGTATCCTTTCAGAGTTTGTACCGTTCACCAAGCTGACCTACATTATTCAGCAAAAATTCACTATAAATACTTCTCCTGCTGTTATGGGTACTTTACAGTCAAACCCAACACTCCTGACATTTTCCCTCAGCAAGCAGCGAAGGTCAGATTAAAAATGTGCGCCTACCACTGCGAGGGATTTCCCCTCGAAGAAAGACCCTGCGTGAACATGAATGGAAGAGAGATTCAAACATGAGCTAAAATCTCTCCTCTGTTACATGAACACATAACAACAACAACAGCAAGCCACAAACACCCTCGACTATCGCACAGGAGTAGCTACTTCCTCTAAGAAGTGTTGACACATAACACATATACATATTCACAGGAAGCAGCGGTATGAGCCTCGAGGGTTCATTCTGCAAGAGGTATCTGTCTTTCTTCCAGAATAAAAGCGAGTGACGACCACAACCGAACTTCCTGAGGAGCTTCTCTGGCAGAATAGACATCCTCAAAGGGTTCATCGACAGAGAGAATAACTTAAAGCGTTTATAGACAACAATGAAAGAAAGGAATTCAATGTGCAAAAGCTCTTTACTGACTTCAATTGATTAAAACAGTAGCAGCAAAAACAGGAGCTGCAGCTTTCAGGCAGCACACAAACAGAAAGCTGCACATTTACAGCAATTCCCAACTCGTGAGCACGGCAATTATTTTACTTCCCTTTCACCTCAGGCACATGTACACACCATGAGGCTACTTCTCCAAATTGAGGACGCTTTAATGACAACAGTTCAGGGAGTTCACGGCTGAACGTTTTCTCTCTGTTCAGTTTGTTTGAGGTGTGTGGATAAAAGTGCACAACAATAACAAGAAGCCACGGGCAGAGCAGCACTATAACCTACAAGTACTGAGCAAAGAATCCAACATGACCTCTTTTCTGAGCTGTACAAAGGAAACACATGTAGAAACACCACAAATATCAACTTAAATGAGAATTAAAGCTGCTTAATCTGGACTGCCATAAATAAACTGCAGCTAATTACGAACTTTGCAAAATTCCCACAACTCCTGAATACTTTTAAGTCTGCAAAGTTCAGCTAGAAACTTCTTCTACAGATTTGCATGCAGTTGAATCCATGCTCACAGTTGTGGCTTCCACAAAAAAAAACCGAACAAAAAAAAGCCTTTTCTTCAAATGTAATCATGAGAAATGATTAACATGCATATACTTCCTCAAAAACATCCTAAAGCTCCACAGCCTGTGCTGAATCATGTGATTTATGTAAAACTATCAGACTGATCAGGATCATCAGATTTGCTTTAATCAGCACGACACAAACATGAGTCTGATTTTAGATGCTGTGGGGCTCTCTGCTAGCAGCTTGTATTCTTTAGGTCTGATCAGTTGTGCAGAGAGTATAGCTCTGTACACGTCACAGTCCATTCTGCTGCTTATATCAGAAGTGACATCATCAGTAAACATAAGTGACCCGTTCCTGCAGCCATAAATGCCCAGGCCCACACTACCTCCACCATGTTTAACAGATTTTATACGCTTCAGATCAGATTTCTCTCCTTCTCCAAACTTTTATCTTCCCTTCACTCTTGTAAGACTTTATCTTCTTTCAGGACTCCAGAATCCGGCCTGCCTTACCACAGACCTCACCTGGCCATTAAGTCATCAGTCAACTGTCCAATTACTTTTGAGACTCTAAAAATATAACGTGTGTATAAAAATAGCTGTATCTCCTACACAGTTAATACAGAAATTGTTAAACCCCTTGAATTAAAGCTAAAAGTCTGCACTTCAGTCAGCTCTTAACTGTTTCATTCAAAGTAGTTATTTTTCAGTAGTTTTAAATTAATGTTCATTTATATTTTTGGCAGTTTTAATCCACTATGGATAACAGTAATATTAATATTAAATAAGAAACTCAAATTTTTATTTTTGGCAGCCACCATAAATAATGTTAACTAGATAAATCACTATTAATTGAATATCAGCATGTATTATTAAGATTTTTTATTTATGTTAACTTTTTGTATTTTTGTCATTTGCAATCTTCCATATACCAGCACCTAACTAACCAGCTTTTCCTCCATATGCGATTTGAAACCCAGAGCTTTGTCATCTTTCTGCCATCACCGTCTCATTCACTGCTGTGTAAACATGTATGTGATGCTTTAAAAGCACGTGTTGAGCTTTTATCTTTCCACATGATCACGTCGTAGTAAAAATCTCACCTGTTTCTTCTGTAATATGTGTCAATAAAACTGTGTGAGTAGAGCATACACACTTCCTCTATTTACACTACATCTGTCTGTCAAGGCTGCTTTCCAGTATGGGGCACATTAGGGTGACAGTTGTTTTTGTCATCTGTGGAGCACTCAGTAAGTGCATCATGTGAAAAAACAAGCATGTAGCTTCTAGCCTGTCCTAGAAAACAGGAAGTCTAACAAATGTTTGTGTTACAAAGGCAGATCTGAAGTGCTGAGAAATTAGATGTCTGGGGGAGAGGTGGACTCACTTGCAGCTGCTGCTGGATTATTTTCATGTTGTGTCGTTGCAGAAAGTTCTGCTCCTGCGAGCGCACCCTCTCCAGCTGGGTCAGCAGGTTAGTGAAGAGCACGCCAGCCATCGACTCGTCGTTCACCGCGGTGTCCCTAAAAGTAGACAGAGTGACACATTCAGGAGATTCAGAGCAACAAAACCTGTGAAGAACAAAGAAGTTGCTTTACCACCTACCACAGGCCTTCAAGCTGGCAGTAGTTAAACCGTTACTTAAAAAGCCATCTTTTCCACATATCACTGTCTTAGCTAATTATAGGCCAATCTCCTACCTTCCTTTTATCTCTAAAATTCTTGAAAGAGTAGCTATCAAACAGCTAATAGATTGTTAAATCAAGAATCAAATCTAAAAATCTACTGCTACATACAAGGTCTTGAATAATCAGGCCCCATCTTATCTTAATGACTTTAGAGTACCGTATCACTCCATGAGAGCCCTTCGCTCTTAGACTGCAGTCAGACCAGTTGCAGATGGCTGCCCCTCCCTGTGCCTGGTTTTGCCAGAGTTTTCCTCCTCTTAAAAGAGAGTTTTTCCTTCCCACTGTTGCCAAAGCGCTTGCTCACAGAGGTGAGCAAGTTGTTGGTGTTTACTCTGCATTATTGTAGGGTCTTTACCTTACAATATAAAGTGCCATCTGGGAACTGCTGTTGTGATTTGTTACTATATAAATAAAACTGAATTGAATAGTTCCTTGCTCAAGAGTCAAAAAAATAGTGGTACTTTTGTCCATCCATCCATTTTCTTCCAATAAAGGGTTGGAAGACAATGGATAGGCTGCGCTCACCTGCAACCACCATGGACAGGTGCCAGTCTGTCATAGGGCTAACACAGAGAGACAGACAGCCATTTACACCTATGGGAAATCTAGAATCACCTGTTAACTTAACCCCACTAACTGTATGTCTTCGGACTGTGGTGTGGGAGGAAGTCAGAGTACCCAGACAGAACCCTCACAGACACGGGGAGAACATGTCATGCCCCCAAAAAACCAAAAACTGCAGTTCCTTGAATGATCACTGAAGCCAGACTTCAAGAGTAAGTTTGTCTTCTTGGTTTTTCTCTCTTCTCATGCCGATAATGATGCCGCCACAGCTCTGTACCCTTCATTCCAGTACTTAGGGTGCGAATTCCCCCTGCAGTATTCTCGTGAGCAATAGATGTCGCAATTGAGACAAAACTTCCACATTCGCACTGGTATTGTCTCTTCAACCCAGCAGAAGCACAATGGACCATTTTAAAGAAATCGACAACTGCAGGACCGGCTGACACGACACCAACATGGTGGCTTGCTACAGCAGGTGTGACATCACTTAGGCGTACAGCGCCGTTCGCAAGGGGATGAATGGCGACATAACAGGATCCTTCTACTCCCAAGTTAAAAATCATAGACTGTATTTAAAAAATAAATGTAGCTACCATTACATAACCTATTTATTTCTGATATATGCATTTCTAGACTGAACTTAACCAATAATCTTTGAGGAGAAAAAGGTCTTTTAAGTTTTGAAAACAACAAGAAACATGTACCTTTTCTTTGTATAAGAAAAAAAAATAAGAAAACTATGAAAAATTATGTCTTCAATACATTTCTTGGACTTTTTAAATTTTATTTCTTGTGGAATAAAACTCAAAGGTTTGTAGCCTTATGTACATGTTATTTAGTGAAGGAATGGAAGAGCCTTCAGGCAGGTTCTCTCAGATCTGCCCAGCACCGTTGAAAAATGTACTTTAACTCAGACCACAATCATTCCTAAATCCTGCTGAAACCGAAAACTAAAAGCATCCATTTACTCTCCTTTTAGCTAAAAGCAAACACTCTGTGGGTGATAAATGATCACTGTTCTCGTTGATAAGGAAGAAGGTGCAGCTACAGCGGGTTTTTCACTGAAAAGAGCTTCCTGTAGGAAATGAGGTCTATGACGTGAAGTTGTGGGCTGTAAAACCAAGAAGTCATGGTTTTGATCAATCAGCTTCAACTGAACAAAAGTATAAACTCAGCGATTTGAACTCAGCTTTGTCAACATGTTTTTGATGCACAGGTGATCGTTTATGTTTGCACAAACTTTCACTGAGCTTCAGAAGACGTCTGGATCAAAACCTCCTGCTTTTCTGGATTTAAATTTAAGAAGCCTAGACCCATTAAAAATATAGATAACTATACACTTAAAATATTTGATAGACAATATTTCTGTCTTATTTTGCTTCAGAACTATTACATAGGATTATTTCCTTGAATTATTTATTCATCCATTTTAATTTCAAGTTACTCATTTCTAAATTATTATTTTTTCATCATTTTGCCTTGCTCCATTTTTCCTCAAGTATTTTTCTTAAAGAATATTTATTTAGACATTTATGCTTTATTAAACAAATATAAACGGCTGACATTGTGAGTGTTTATGGAGGTGATTCTTTTCCTTGTTTGCCAGCATATTAACGCCAGACTCATATCCTAAATATATTTTCATATACTTATTATTTGGTTATCTTTAGTCTTATGTACAAAGTTATTATAGTCGACTAAAACTAAAATAAAATGAATAAAATAAATATTTGAGTTAACTGAAATAAAATAAAAATATGCATTTTATTAACTGAAGATGATAACTCCATGTGACTGAGTCATGGGTTTATTTTGTACTTACATTACAAAAAATAAAACTGATACTAAAACTAAACCATCCCCACCCTTTGGAAGCAAACTATAACTTAAGTTAAAGCACAAATAAAAACTCACTTATATAAACTGCTATATTACAATCATTACAAAGAAAGAAGAATGAAAAGACAGACATATTTGGTAAATAGTAAATAAATAGCTCACAATACTTTGATAAAAAAGAAAAACATTAATATTACATGTTGTGTACCTAATTGCATAATTATTTATGTACTAAGTCATTAATTTGTGTATTTAGTTAATGTTAATTTTGGCAGCTTCAGTCCTCCATACCATGTGGTCTTTCAGCCTATGAAGACAGCTGCCTTTTTTTGTAATACAGACTTTTTTTCCCCCACACTTCTTTGCACATAGATGAAGACTCACCAGTCCTGAGACTCGATCCAGCTGGCCAGCCCCTGCCTGATGTCCATGGGGAAGTTATCGTCATACAGGTAATCCACCTGCTCCAGGAGTCTGATCTCCAGCTGTTGAATCTGCTTCCACTGGCTCATGATGCTGTGCCTTCGGACACCACGCGATGCACACACCCGTTATCACCAAAGAGTGCTCTAAAAACATGAATAACATGTTAAATATTATCTAAAATTACGGATTATTTATTGTATGTAATTATTTGATCGTTTAATGTCGCTTCTCCTCGTGTTTGTTACCTGAGATGTTTCCGCGCTGCCTTCCCGTCAGCTTTCATCTACCATGTGCACTTGTTTCCCTTGCGCTGACTTTCGTTTTTTATATGTGCCTCTCAGATCAGGAAGCGACCTCATTTCCCCTCAGTGGCTGTTCTCAGGTACTCAGAAGGCCCCTCCTCCTCCTGCCAATCACACACTCAGAATGATCCTAAACCTTTAGACAGGTAACAGGTGCAACTAGAAAAATGATACTGTAAGGTTATATCAAGAAACAGACTAAGTTAGAGAAGTAGCTGAAATGAATGCATCATATTTATCTCAGCTGATTACATAAAATTTAGATAGGTAATTAATGATCAAAAATTACTTTCAGCTAGATCACAAATTTATGATAAACAGTCTAAATGACCAACCAAACATAATGGATAAACCATAAACTGATGAAATCAGTGACTGTAAACAAACTTTTATATAGTAATTTATGGAAGTTTGTTTGCACCAGTTTTGAGTTATGTATCTTAGAATTACAAGTTAACAGATAGCAGAAAATATGAATTAATTGGGTTTTTTTTAATTGTGGAAACAAGCATCTATAGGCAATTGTTGAATTACACTAGCTACATTAAATTAAGGTCATAAATTATTTATGACTAGCTGATAAACTGCTTGCTAACAGTTTGCTAACATTAAACCATTATGTTGCTTTTGAAGCTAGCAATTAAATTGGCATTATGACAAAGTATCAAATTAAATTAAATTACTAGAAATGTTGATAGGTTTTGTTAAAGTTATACCAAGTGGTTAAGCTGTCTAACACTTTTAACTGACAGTTAAAATGGTTAGCTAAACGCAATGGGTGAACCATATACTGTAGCTAACTTTATCTATATTCTTAGGCAACATTTGACATTTAAGATTATTATACCAATAATAAAATAATTTACAAACCTTTTAAAAAAATAAAATAAAATCAAACAGTTCAAAACACAATTAATGAGCCATAAAGTGTTGAAATGTGTTTTGATTTTGATTCTGCTGCAAAGGCAACTTTTTAAATACCTTGGTTAGTAGCTAAACTAACAAACTAAGAGTAACACAATCGATTAACACCTGTTATATTAATAGCTGAGACTGTTAACTAAATACAGTACATAAACCACAGAATGTATATCTTTAAATATATTGCTAATTTAAATCACAAATTAAAATATGTGTACTTTGCTAAAGATACAGTTAGCAGTTGTTCCTGTTAATTTTTCCATATTATGTACTGGGGTATATTTGTCAGGGGCAAAATCTTAGTACATTCATTTTTTAAAAAAAAATCAATTAACACTTATTTTATTTTCTGTCTTTACCTTAATAAGACATTTATTTTGTCACTCTCTACATTATTGGCTTACATACCATTTATTCACTTTATTCACTTTTAGTCACTTACAGTTATTTATTCACCTTTCAGTCACTTTAATTTTAAAACTGTGTAATTTTAAAACTGTATATTCTGTGTATTTATTATTTCACTCTTATTGCCTGTTCTTATTGTCCTTATCTTCATCGTTATGGTGCCTTGTTGTTTGTTAATTGCCCCTTGGGGATAAATAAAGTCTTCTGATTCTGTTTTTAATTTTCCAAATTCTTCCCTGATAAATAAAGTACATCTAATCTTACCTTATAACAAAAAAGCTTATGAAACGTAGAATGACTGATTAGGACAGAACTATACAAAAGAAGTGGCACATTTAAATAGAAAAGTTTAATAAAATTCTTGCTGAATAAAAATATCAATGTAAATACAATAAAGAGCAAATAAAAACTCTTACCATTAAATAAACATTTTGTGGTATGAGACTTTCTGCATATGTAACAAAATGTCAGAGGGTGGGGAACTTTTAAATACAATTAAAACATTATTTATTATTTATTAATTTGAAGTCATAAAAGTGTACCGTGTATTTCTTACTGCAGCCCTCCTATCCAGCAGGGGGCGCGTGTTAAACGGAGTGGTGCTGACCGAGTGAGGAGCAGCGCTCAGAGGTGAGAGTTCACTCCGGTAAAAACATGGTTGAACACGGGGATATCCGCGTGGTTCACTGCGGCGGCAGTAAAATAAACTTCAGGGATCCTGTGATAACCCACGACTCCAGGTGAGCGAGTGTTTTAACCTGCTGATGTTTCATATTTAGTGGAAAGGTCTCGCGCGGTTTGTGTCGTTTGTGTTAGCCTCAGAGCTGAGGCTGTTAGCATTAGCTTGAGAAGCTGCTGGATATTCCTGCTGCTGTTTACAGCATAGTATCAGCAGCTCGTCTCAGCTCCGTGACTTTGACTGAGCCACAGACCAAGACTGAGCTGTGTCCCGGTCCTTACATGTTTGTTTGATGTTTGTTTCCTCATATTTGTATCGCTGCAGGTTCCTTCTGTGCGCCTCCGGAGAGGCTGTGAAGGTGTTCAGCACCTCCACAGAGGAGTGTATCCACGAGCTGCGGGGTCACACCGGGCTGGTGACAGGTGTGCTGCTCAGACCCTCAAACCACTTACAGGTACAGTCACCTCTCCACCTAGAAAAACGACTTTTTTCAAGACGTCTTTATCCAGAAACTCGCTGATATTCATTTAATGTTAGAAAATACAGGAAACAGCAGAATAGCTGCTGAAGCCACTTTTTCTTTACGTGTAATTATTTATTATTTATTAAGTTTAGTTCAATCCCCCAGCTCTGATCAAACAAGAATCAGATCTCTTTTTATTTTTTTATTTATTTACTTACTCATTATCCTCATTACTCACTCTGTTGGTTCAGGCCAGAAAGCAAAGTAAGTAAACTCTTGATTCTCTGTTCCTGAAAGAGCCCTAACTTAAACTCTGAGTCAGTTACGATTAGTGGTGCAACGGATCCAAAATCTAACGGTTCGGATCGGATCACGGTTTTAAGTCACGGATGGGATCAATTTTCGGCTCAGCAAAAAAAGACAAATTTAACTCGCCATTTACTTATTTAGGTATTTTTAGCCTATTAAAAAACATTCAACTCAAGACTCATTCCTCGCAGTTATATAAAAACAAATTAAGGTGCAATATAGGGCAGTGCAGGGCTTTGTATCTACCACTCCGTGGTAATATAATGAGCGGTCACAACGCTTTCTGTTGCCCTGGAGGTCCACCCATTAGGGCAACAGAAGATGCCTGGGACAGTTCAGGCATAACTTTAGACTTTTCCTGCTCATACATGCTTGGAACGATCTTATCACTGAAGTGGACGCGCAACGGGATACCATAGCATGGCTCAAGCACGTTCATCATAGTTTAAACACCCTTGTTTTACACAACAGAATACGGCCTCACGTCTGCAGCTAAACACTCCAATAGCTTTTGTAATAGCTTTAGCCCGGACGGATTGGGCAGCAAATGGCGCAAACTCCTCTGCTCCTCCTGGACTGCTAGCACTGGCCATAACTATGGCTTGACAGACTGACCACGCGTACCATGCACATACTTTTTTTTCTTCTTTTTCGAATCTTCGGATCACGTGTGTGCCGAACCGTGGCGTGGGATCGGTCCGGATTACGGATCAACGGTGATCCGTTGCACCACTAGTTACCATGGAAATGGAGCCTGGGAACCATTCCTGGTACCTGACTCCTTCCCTCCTGCTCCTCATACACTCACTGCTGCTTTATTAGGTACACCTTTGGACCACCTTTTGTCTTCAGAGCTACCTTACTTCAAGGCACAGATTCAAAAAGCTGCTGGAAACATGCCTCAGAGATTTTGGTCCATGTTGACACGATAACATACAGATGTGTCTCTTGCAAATCCATGATGGAAATGGCCTGTTCCACCACACCCCTCAGGGATAACTCTGGGTTTACTGAGCTAATGCTGATCAACGTTTCTGGGTCCAAAAAGTTGGCTTTTAAGACTTTGAGTTTGTTAAACCTCCTTTTTAGCAGGACCCTATTTTTTTCCCTCACTTATTTTTTAATTGTTTTTATTCTCTGTATTTTTCTTTTTATTATTATTGTTTTTGGGGTTTTTTTGGGTTTTTTTTATATATATATGTATATTTCTATATAAATACAGTTCATTGTTATGTCTCACACTGTGCTTGTGTTGTGCTGCAGGTTTACTCTTCATCACTAGATGGCACTCTCAGACTCTGGGACTTCACAGACGGGATTCTTATTAAGGTTGGACGTTGAGTCTTGTTGTTTCTCTCCAGTCTTTTCTGTCACTGTGGATCATCAAACTCCAGCTGCAACACACACTTTCCTAGTTTTTCTCTGTTTATAAAAGTGAAGGTTTATTTATTATTAGGCAGCCCTCAAACAGTTAGAGTGAGCAGGGCACCTGTGATCAGTCTGCGAACATGCAGATGATGCAGATCCTGTTCATGATAATAAAGGAAATGTGTTCTATCTTCTTTGCTTTGACTGCATAACTGAATTTTCTTGAGCTAACAGAAGTTTTTTGCATTAGTTCTGAAACATTTCCTCTCGATGTCCTTGTGGGTGAATAATTTAATTAATTATATATATTTTTTTGTAAATGAACTCTCATATAAAATGAATTGTTTCACCTTAAATTAGCTACAAAACATGGAAATTCAGCAGAAAAAGGAGTAGAGGTGTTTATGATGAGGTTTGTGGGTCCAGTTTAAGAGCCCATGTTTCCAAGATGCATGACAGCTGTGCGGTCTCTTCTAGACTTGTGTCATTGGATACCCAATCTACTCCTTCTACGCCTCTGCCAAACATGAAAACGTCATCTTTATTGTTGCATCCATGCCGAGTGACAAAAGAGCGGGTAAGTGTGACATCAGAGCGCCATTCAGACTCCATTTGTGAAGTAAAGTTTCTAGAACTCAGTGTGAATCTGTTACACCACCGTCTGAGGGGTAAAGGAAGAGTCCCCAAACAAGGTTTATTAATAAAGTGTGATATTTATTTAATCGCAGGCTACTGCAGGGTGACCCAAGGGGGAAAATAGCAGAGTGATGCTTCTCAGGGCAAGAAGTCAAATATTAAGAAAAAACTAGCCAGGCAGATGCCTGTATGTGTCATACCTCTTCATGTTGAATGTTATTGCTTGT